AACATTTGTTACATATTTTAAGAGATTTATTTCATTTATTATGTGTGGGTTCTTGTGCTATTTTAGTCATAACCTAAAAAGATAAGTAAGTTTAATTTCTGTAATTACTTTATGCCATATTTTGTAGTATTGTTAAAGGGGCTGATATAGTGATTCAACAAAGCATGGTTCAAATATTCCAACTATTTTGCCCCATAAAATGTCATGCCCTTGTGTTCGGAATTTATAACAACAGTTGGAGAGTGTGGTCAAATTCCTGAGTCCTTTATTTCCAGGGCTTTGCAGGCTCTCCAATAAGTTCCTGGGTGGTACAGTAGCTAATTCTGGCCTTGTAAGCTTGGGTGGTTTGAGAAGAGGGCATCAAGGCTGTACCTGTGCCTTGTGGCCACATCTCATTGGTAGATAAATAGGAACCTGGAGATAACCCAGGACTAGACCTTTTGTAGCTTAGGGGGGAAATGACCCTGTTGCATTTCCTTAGATGGTGGATGCCCATAGCTGAAGGCATTGTTCAAGCTGACTTCAGCCAGGTTTCTTCATCCTGTGGCAGGCATCCTTTGGGCTCTTTGTTATGTGTTGAGCAAGACAGGCCTTATCCCCTTTCCTGTGGAGTGGGCAGTCTTGCCTTCTGTACTCATATATATATCCTCCTGTCTTTGCAAAGGGAAGGCATGTATGATGCCCTGGGATGCCTCCTCTTTCCTACCCCCATAAAGGAATGTCATATTTTGAGTTTAAGAGCAATGATCCCTAAAGTCTTTAATGCTCTTCTGTTCTCTCTATTTTTTTTCCATTGTTTTGCCAGCAATATCTAATTACTAAAGCAATTCAAGAAACTGATTTCTTAAATTAGAAGAAAAGTAGGGCTAGAGACCAGTTTGCTGATAGTGACCCCAGGCCAGGGGTCCACAGGGTCTACCCCCAAAGGTTAGCTAGTAAAGTACTGGGCTGGTTCCCAGAAGAATGACGCAACTTCACTCTTGGTGGCTCTCAGACTGGGATTTTACCAGAAAAATTGCAAAGTGAATTTGGACAACTGACTCAGAAGTAACTCTTTAATATACCCTCACTCCTACTACTATTAGTGTTATTTTATAAATGATAGGACAAGTTCAGAAAAAGGAAAAGGACACAGCCTAGGTGAAGTACAACATCTTCAATTAATCAAATTCAGTATTGTGACCTATTTATTTTTCTCAGTCTGATGGACTGTTTTTTCTTAATTTCTGCAGTATGATGGATAAATATTATCTAGGTTTGTGAATCACAGCTCTGCATGACTCAGGAGAATCACATATGGGAAAAAAATCCAAGGAGATTTTTAAATTTGTGATGCTGGGGATGAAACCCAGGACCTAGCATGCTAGGCAAGGGCTCTACCACTGACCTACGCATCCAACTGAGACAGGGATAATGGACAGGTAGTCAGCACAGATAATAAATGATTGGGTAGGAAAGATGGGGGCTAATTATCAATTCAAAGAAAAGGAAATGGGGTTGCTAAAGCTAACCTCCAGATAGCACCACCCCTCACCCCTTGTTAAAACCTCCAGGGGAGGGGAAGGAGGAAGGATCACATTTCCCAGCATAAGCAATTACCCTCTGAGTGGCTCTTTTTCTGCTTTGGGGCAGGAAAGAAATAAGGTGGGGGTTGTGTGAAAAAGCGAGACCATCCCCCCACACTCTCTTGGGTACCAGCTATTCTTCTCTGGAGGAGACTACTATCTCTATTCTATCTTTTACATAAAATTTGTTTTCTGTACTTGCCTCAGCATTTCTCAGGTGTTTAGTCTTCAACACCCTGGAATGAGGACCTGATGCTGATTCCAAGACCAGTATCACAACTCTCTAGGAGAGTTTCAAAGAGACAGACCAAAGGCTTTGTATACCCAAGAACCAGCCTACGTGTCCATAAATGGAAGAATGGATAAAGAAATATGGTTTATATATACAGTGAAGTTTTATTCATCCATAAATAAGAATGAAACTATGCCATTTGCAGTAAAAGGGATGGAACTTGAGAGTATTATGTTAAGCAAAAGAAGCCAAACTCATAAAGTCAAGAGTGGTATGTTTTTCTCATATGTGGAAGATAGAGAAGAAAAAGGAAAAGAAAGGTTTATGGGGGGGGGGGGGTCTCATGAAAATGAAGGAGAGACCAATAGGCTAGAAGAAAGTGACCAGGGGTAGGCAGGAAGGGAGGGAAAGGAGAAAACTGGGTAATGATATTGACCAAGTTATAGTGTTCTATTGTACATGGATATAACATAATAATATGTAACAATAAATCTCACTATTGTGTATAATGATAATGCACCAATGAAAGATATGGGAAGGAAAAGACCTTTGCTCAGAAAATGTTAGCATTAGTGTGATCTAAAGGTGGAGTTTTGGCCCTCTGATATCAAAAGATCAGACACCTGTGCAGCCACAAGTGAAGAGTCTATGGTTTCAATAAAAGCAGTCCTCAAGTCCCAGAAAAGTAACCTAGGTAACCATGATCATCATGACCCACTTGTCAGGGGTATTAGGTATTATCTTTTTTTTTTTTTTTTAACTACATCAGAGTCATCACATCCATGTTTCCCAGCCTCCAACCCAGAAAGTGCTCTCAAAGACACTGAGGTTCCACTGGCTCTGGACTTGCCCTTTCCTCTGGGATCCTGGGGCCGTGTTTATTAGGAAGCCACAACAATTCTCAGCACATGGGCTGGCCCTGCTCAGATCCCAGGAGAATCCAGGCATTGTTTCTACTTGTAGTCCATCATGACCCACGACACAATGCCTGGTCACTTGAATCCAGAGTCCTCTATTCCACCCAGACGGCTCTGCCCCCTGCTCAAGACACATCCTCCAATCAGCAACAGAAACTACCAGGCACAGGGCCTTGGCGCACACTGGCTTGCAAAGACCTGAGGCAGGAGGGGACCCATAGGCTGGGTGGGACCCAAGACCCTAGATCCTGGGATCACAGCTGCCCACTAACATGAACAGACAGCTCATGTGCACAGTCACTACTGACTGTCACTCAGAGTCCAATTGAGACCCTGCAGACTTGGCAGTGGACTTGGTCTACCCAGGAGTGGGGGTGAACTGCACCCATTGAAAATGATGATGTTCAAATAAAGACAGATTTTTTAGGATTTCATTTATCTCAGATTCCCAATAATCAGCTTCATAAAAACATAAAGTAGAAGTATTGTCTTGGGCCTGGGGAGGGGAGTCGAATTCAGTACTGATGGCAAGAGTATGTCCATGTGAGTTCTGGAGATGCATGGTAGCAATGGCTAGGCAACAACACAAATATGCTTAATGACATTCAACTAAGTGTGCACTTCAAAAATGGTTCAATCGCAAAGTGTGTGTTTGGTGTAAACAACCACAATGTAAATATCAGGGAGATTGCTGATTGACTCTCTTCGAATTGTTCGTGTTGTGATGGCAGAATACAAGAGACTGGGTAATTTATAGCACGGATTTTATTTCTCAAACTTGGGAGGCTGGAAGACCAAGATCAGGGACCAATTTCTGAGAACATTTTTGTTCTATCCTCCTGGGAAGCAGGTGAAACAGGGAAAAGGGCTGCTTTGAAAAGCCCCTTCCCATGGAAGGAGACTCCATGGCCTAAACATATCTTCAAGCTCCCACCTGGTAAAACATCATAATGCAGAGACAAGATAGAATGACATCCTATGCTCCGTAGAACATCCAAACTTCTTGGGATGACTCAATTTCTGCAAGTCATGATTTTGGATAAGACAAGAGTTAAGCTTAACACATGGGGGAAAGGGTTTCCTTCTCTGCTCCTGCTTGTAGTGTTGGATGTGGCCTTACAAGCCATTACTGAAGTTCTGCACAACATCTCCAACTGCCCACCTACCACTTCCCCAGAGGGGGGCTGACTCACACTCAAGTCCTGAAGACTCTCAAATCCAGAAATCAGAAACGTCACAGGAAATCCAAGGGAAATTTGTTCACAGACTGCCGAAAACACCACAGTCCACACATGCTCAAGTCTCACAAAAATGACAGAATATTTGCATCTAAACACTGCATATCCTCTACCTGTATCACTTCCATTATCGCTAGATGACTTCTGATACCTAATACAATGAAAGGACAGTGTCATTCTCTGTAATACTGTAAGATCCAGGAAACAATGATGAGAGAAGTATCTGTCCATAGAGACACAAATTCTTTCCTGATAGTTTTGATTTCCAGCTGGTGGGGACCATGCATGCAGAAGAATGGGTGCAGAGCCAACTGCACTTTCTTGCTTTTCATTACAGGAGGAAACACTGCAGCCAAGAGGGGGGCTTCTAGGAGCTGATATCCTTCAAGTCAACATGTGGACACATTTGTCCGAGGTATTATCTACAGCACAGCTAGTGGGAGACGAATAATATGTTGCTCAGCTTTGTGGCTTTCCAAAATTAGTGATTTTTAAAGTCAACTAAAAGCAAGTAACTTGAAACAAGTGAAGCCAGGTGGTTTGTGGTTGCAGTTGTGGGAAATCCCGCAGTCTTTTGCCTGCTAAGCAAGTGCTCTACCACTGAGCTACGCCCCAGTCTAAGTCAGAGGGCTCATTTGGTTTTTCCATGAGTTTCTGCTAGCTGCTTCATGCCCAGTTCTGAGATGTGAAAACACTCAAAGCCACACAGGCTTACAACAGAGCTCAGGAATCTCCAGTGATTCTAGAGCAGCCACAGACACACATGGTCTTCTGCAGAGCTTGGGGGGGGGGGGGGACAAATGATTCACCTAACAATAGAAGTTTCAGGGTTGGACTTGAGGAGGGGCGTGAGCTATCAAGGAGACTTCCTGAGCCAGTCCTGAGCCTGAGTAATCTAGCCGCCCTGTCACTGCTGTTGGCTGCAATCCAAGACTGAAGTGCAGTTATGAGTAACTGAGCTTCCTCCTAGAGGCAGTAAACAGTTAAAATCTTGGGGCAGCTGTAATCTTGTAGGCGTGGTTCTCTGGGCTGACTTGGGCTGCACAGATCCTGGGCCAAGGGGCAGAGGAAAGCCTGCTTAGGCGGCAGAGCCTCCAGGATGACTGAACTGGATCTGATGGCCCCAGGGCCATTGCCTGGCGTCACTGCTCACCCTCTGGCCCCTCTCAGCTCAGATTCTGGGTCTGTCAGCCCCACAGAAGAAGAGGATTTGGGCTCCCCGGGGAGAGCTGTGGAGGAGACAGAGGGAGAGGGCAGCTCCTCTGCAGAGTCAGGGGCACCCGGTGAAGATGGGGAGGAGGACATACTGTGTGACTTCTGCCTTGGAACCAGCAAGGTGAAGGCAGTGAAATCCTGTCTCACCTGCATGGTGAATTACTGTGAGGAGCACCTGCGTCCTCATCAGGAGAACAGTAAGCTGCACAGCCACCAGCTGACTGAGCCATCAAAGGACCGAGACCTACCCACCTGCTCTGCCCACCACAGCCCTCTGGTTGCTTTCTGCTGCAGTGACCAGCAGTGCATTTGCCAGGAATGTGGCCAGGATGAACACAAGGACCACACTGCAGTCTCCCTGGATGCTGCCCGCAGAGACAAGGAGGTGAGTGCTTGGGGTCTGTCCAGCTGGGACAGGGCAGTGGGACATGGTGCTCGCCTGGGGAAGCCCAGCCACACCACAATCCTTTGCTCTGCTGATGTCACTTCTGTGCTCTGTATGAACAGAAAAAGGAAATTAGCCATAGCTCCTGGCTGTTCGTGCAGCATAAGAATCTGTTGCCCTTGGATTTGAAAAATGAAGTAGGTCACTCTGTCCTCTCCTTGTCTCCCTGTTGTCGTGCTACCTCTGTGTCTGTCTCTGCTTCTCTCTGAGTTTCCTGCTGTTTTTCATGTAGCTTTTGGGAATGGGTATTTGGGTGTAGGACGCAGAAGTTGTGGGGTTCAGAGGAGATGTTTCTCTCTGGAGGGAATTACATGGCACGTATACTATCAATTAATAAAACACCAACCTTGGCAGCAATTCAAGAGAAAAGTATAAATCTTTCCCCTAATTTTTCTTTTTCCCTTTATCCTAAACAAAGACTAGTGAAAAGTGACCTGCTAGAGATAATCAGTGTGAAATCCAAGAGCTTGAAAAAATGCTAAGGTAATAGAATTTGACACTCCAGTCTGGGTGCAATGTCAAGAATGGGTTAACTTACGGAAAATGAAAGTTCCTCACCAGGTAGAGTATCAGGAGGAACTAAGAATACTGTGCTCAGAGCCTGTAATTTTACTTCTATCAGATAAAGGCATTAATTGTAAAATATAACTTACCTTTGTCTTAAAGCTGAGGACCTAGAGAAATCCTTGGGAATTGATTCAGCAAGTTTATATGCTCTGTTTCTCCCACTTTGACTTTCCATGAGCACTTTTTCTTACTTTTTTTTTTTCCTGTAGGGAAGTACAGTTGACTTCTGTCCCACATTTCTTATAGTCATACCTGCAGCAACTTCCCAAATGCATGGCTGGCATGTTTACAGTAATTTCTTGGCAAATGCTCCTTGGCAGTAAAGGAAAGAGGTTTCTGGGAAAGAGGGTGTGCACACCAGGGCACCCCCTCTATGCCTATCCCTAGACACATATTTTATCTAGTGCTGGTGGGAGTTGTTTTGGAGAGCTCTGAATTCCACATGTCAATGAGTCACTGCTTCCGGCCTGGGAAGTCATTTAATTGTTTCCAGTGTTTCCTGTGACCAAGGATGTCAGACTAAGAGAAAGAGCAACAAATATACACATCAAAGGAAAAATCTCCACATAGTTAAGGAAAATAGTCTTCACTGAGTATTGTCAAAATACTGAGTATTGTTCAAAATGAATTTTTGTGGCTCTTCTCATCCAATTCTCAAATAACTGTGAGGTAAAAAATTTATTATCTCCACCACATTTGTCTCAGTTCATATAGTTGACTAAGTGATGCAGTGAGGCATGGAAGTTTCTGGAAAGCCATCCTACTGGAGGGACATGAAGGAAGGACTCCAAAATTACAACAGTATAACTTTATCTTTTTGATATGTTTTACTCCAAAAACTGGCCAAATATGGTAGAGATTTTAAGACAAAATGTATTGTTATTCCCTTTGGGTATAATATAGGAATTTTATTTTATTTATTTATTTTGGTACCAGGGATTAAACCCAAGGGCACTTAACCACTAAGCCACATTCCCAGCCCTTTTTTATATTTTATTAGAGAAAAGGTCTTGCTGAGTTGCTGAGGTGGGTTTGAATTCAAGATCCTCCTGCCTCAGCCTCCTGAGCTGCTGGGATTACAGGCTTGAGCCAATGCCTGGCTGGAATTTTATTATTTTTTAACTGGAAAATGATATATGGAGTTGTTAAATAACAATGTTACCCAAATCGATTTTAGTGGGAAGAGAGGTCTCCAGCCCATCCCCAATCCCTGTATTTGCCTCCTCTTAACTGTACTTTGTTTCCTTCAGAAATGTTCTATGCCTGGACCAACACCTATACAATATAAATGTTAAATGTACGGCATCTAGAATGCCACAGAGACTTAGGGTGATAGAAATTTGAGCAGGAGAGCTGGGCAGAACTCCAAATTCAGATATCTTAGGAAAGAGCTGGGTAAAGTAGAATAAAGGCAATTGGGTGAGGTACTCTAAGGTAGTCTGGGGGCTGAAAAGCAGTCATGGCTATAGTTACAGTGTGGCAGCCCTGTAACACAGATCCCCCTGCTTTCTAGTCTGCTACCAAGATCTTATGTCCTTTCTACCCTGTGTCCTCATTTTCATCTTGGAGAGCAAATTTACTCTGTGAGTGCAGCTACATTCTATGCAATTCCACCAAATCTTAGGAACAAAGGATTTCTTACAAGGAGCCCAAGCAAACAGCCCAGAAGACATGGGACCTTGATGGCTTAAGAAGCTTAAGGTTCTAGCTCCACTGTGATTGTTTTGAAAGAATTATCAGTTATCATTAAGGCTCCCCAAACCTAGGGTTCCTTTCAGCTAGCCCAAGCCTACTGCAGTTACTCTCTGAAGGTCACTTTGGAGTGGGCTAATCATTATTCAGGCAGGCATTGTGTACAGGAAATTGTAATGGCAAGTTCATCTGGGGGGACAGAAAGCACTGAGATCCTGCTGGGGATCTACAGAGTGATTGACATTTCTCAGCTGCCAAGTTAGCTTTTTCGGAAGCTTCTGTGGTTAGCAATAGCTAGGCCATTGGGCAAGACCTGTGGGCTTTGAGAGCCCAGCTATACCTAGTGGTTCCCTTTGCCCCCAGACCCCTTTCCTCTTAAAAGCAGCTGGTCTTGACTGGCTCCTGCTAATTCCTGTCACCTTTGGATCTCAGACTTGCCACCATGGAAATGAGACCCCATGTCTGTGGGGAGCAGTGTAAAATTGGGACTCCTATGACCACCTTTTCTGTCTATTCTGTCCTGTGTGGTTCTTTCCTGTTCTTCATGCTTATCATACATTATGAAGTCTGTGGCTAAGTGCTAAGCTGCCCAGTCCACAACCTCCCAGAGTTTGGAATCTAGTCAGGAAGCCAAGGCACATACCCTGGCTTCACAGAGTGCTAAAGGGCTGGCACATTGCAAGTGCTGCATATTCAAAGGAGGCAGCCATTGCTGGGAATGTTAAGGTAGGGTTCTTGAAGGAGAAGATATGAGTTGAGCTTGGCCTTAGGTCTTTGGAGACCCCACTTGTACCAGGCCACTACCTTCAACTTCAGTCCTGGTTCTAGAAAAGTCAGGACTGGATGCTGACCATGGTCACACTCTCCATGTAGAGCAAGAACCAAGTATCAGAGAGCCAAAAGTCTTTGTGCTTACCTGGGAGTAGTTAGCATTGTTCAAAGTCTGATTGCTGGTAGCCAGTAGGTGGATGATATGCAGACACTCAGGACAAGAATTTCTTCCAGAAATTGTAAGGAAGGCCTTGGATTCAGTACTATGTAACTTGGTCTTTCTTTCTTCCCTCCCACCCCCAACTTTTTCTGAGAATGAGGATGGAACCCAGGGAGCTCTACCTTTGAGCTACATCCCTATCTCTCTCTCTCTCTCTCTCTCTCTCTTTCTCTCTCTCTCTATATATATATATATATATATATATATATATGTATATATATATATATATATATATATATATATATGTATATATATATAAAATTTTATTTTGAGACAGGGTATTGCTAAGTTGCCTGGGCTAGCCTCAAATTTGTGATCCTTTTGCTTCAGCCTCCCACACTGCTGGGATTGTGTGTGTGCCACCGTGCTTGATGTAACTTGATTTTTCATAAGTAGCCTACCAGGCTATAAGCCTTCCAAGGACAGATAGTGAGTGTTTCAGTTGACTGAATTGGCATGCAATAGGTCCTGATCAATTAACTGAGGAATGGAATCAATATCCAGGTAAAATTCTCGTGATTACAAAGATAAGTCTCTAGAGGGCTAACCTCACATGGTTGGAAATACAAGAGAACTGACTCCATCTGGAATTTTCGTCTCTCTTCTCATTTTCTCAGTTCTTCCCCTTTGCATCTCTAACCTATCCCCAGCCACCAAGCTTTGGATGTCCCCTTTGCTCTGTAGACAGAATAAGGAAATATTCAGTCAACATATTTCTGTGACCTTGTACCAGAGGAGAATCTAAATGATTTGACAAGATTATAAGCCAGCAAGCAACAGGTCTGCAGACCCCAAATATTGTGCCTTTTGTACATTTTTCCAATACCTTGATGAAGCATGCAGGTCTCTTTGTGCCCTTTGCTAGAAGGTCATCTATGCTCATAGGTACCACTGTTCCACACTTGGGTAGGGTATGGGCAGGGCCCACTCTGGCCATGTGTGCATGGCTGATCTTGGGAAACCCTGAAACCAGAGTCTGAGACAACCCATCATTTTCTAGGAACAGGAATAACTGGATATATGAATCTCCCAACTGGCCCCACCTTTTGTGGTAATTGGGAGTGCCTTCCCTTGGAGTGACTCACTCAGAGAGATCCTGGTTCAGTACTTAGCAGCCCTTTTCTCCTTTTATGGTAGTCTGCAGATATAGAGGAGAAGCCCCTCTTTGGATATCTGGGTGTCTCCTTAGGACATGACTGGGAACAACTGCTTTAACTCACGTTGCTGCTATTAAGGTGCCATGTTGTATGAGCTGGTTGCTAGGGTGTGTTCTGTTATGTCTTTCAATTCTTTCAAACAAACAGTTCATGTTCTTCCCCTTTCTTCTAGAATGGGTCACTATAAAAGATTCCAGGATTTCCCCCAATAGGCCAGACCCCTGACTCTTTCTCATTCTCTACTACTAGGCATTAGGTCACAGGTATTAGGGGTGAGAAGCCATGGGGCTCCCTAGACTGGTCAAAGGTTACCAGCCTTCTGCAGAGTGTACTTGTGAAGTGACTGCTCTACCTGCAGCTGTGTTCCCCACTGGGGAGCCTGGAACCCCCAGGCTTCCTTGGGAGAATTAATTTATGCACTTAATTTATGCGCTTTGAGATCTGTTGGGGCATAATGACTCACAGCTTTAAATGCAGACAGAAGCTATTAAAAATATTGAAAGCTGCTTATTTATTATTATTATTACTTCTTTTTGCTATCTCATGCCCTTGTGGAAGCAGGGAAGTGACAGGGCCTTGGAAGTTGGCAAAGTCTTAGATTTTCTGCCAGGCAGACTTTTTGGCAGAAGTTGTTTAGGGAGTCCCAGGAGGCAAGGTCAAGGCAGGCAAACACTTGCACTTGCTTTGGCTGGAGTGGCAGTGGGGCTATAGTAAGGAGAGGGAGGGAGGACTCGGGGGGAGGGTTTGGAGTGGCGACGGCTGGCTCTACCTGCCTCCAAGAGCAAACACAGAGTATGAAGGGAAATCAGCCATAATAGTAAGATGGATGATAATGAGGAGGAGGAGGATCTCAAAGACAACCACTGACATTTAGGGTGTACTTTCAACATGCTCTTATTATACTTGCTCTTAGCCAAAAGGCCAAGAAGCAATCCAAGTTTTTATTAACATACATTATCTCATTTAATTCATTATCTTACAATCTTAGGAAGCAGGCACTTTATTTATCTCCATTTCATAGGTGAAGATATGAAAATTTAGAGGCATTAAGTTCTGAAATAATAAGAAATATATGCTTGATCTTTGGCCACATTTCTTGACACATATATAGCTCTTAAAACCCTTGCAAGGCTGGGGATGTGGCTCAACGATAGAATGTTTGCCTGGGATGCATGGTCTGGGTTCATTCTTTTTTTCTTTTCTTTTCTCAGGGGTGCTTAACCACTGAGTCACATCCCCAGCACTTTTTATCTTCTATTTTGAGACAGAGTCTCACTGAATTGCTTAGGGCCTGGCTAAGTTGCTGAGGCTGGATTCGAACTGGAAATCCTCCTGCTTCAGCCTCCAGGGCCACTGGGATTACAGGTGTGTGCCATGGAGCCTGGCCTAAGGAATCTCTGAAGTGATCTGTGTCTTTTATATGCTAATGAGATTACTGCTGGCTGGAGCTGCTGGACAGCCTGTGGATGGGGACAACTTGCCAAGGGAACCTACCACTTGGTTAGGTGTTTGGGACTTTCAGCCCATCTCTCAACCTCTGGGGAAGGAAAGGAGCTGAAGGTTGAGTTGTTGACTGGTGGCCATGAATTTTATCAATTGTGTCTCTATATAATAAAGTGTCCATAAAAACCTAAGGGCCAGAGTTCTGAGAGCTTCCATATTGTTGAACATGTAAGTGCATAAAGAAGACATAGAAGCTCTGTGCTTCTTCCCATATGCCTTGCCCCATGCATCTTCCATCTATCTGATTTGTGTTCTTTCATAATAAACAGGTAACATAAGTAAAATGTTTACTTAATTTATGAGCCATTCTAGCAAATAACTGAACCTGAGGAGCAGGTGGTGGAACCTCTGATTTCTAGCTGGTTGGTCAGAGGCAGGGGTTACCACCTGGACTTGGATTGGCATCTGAAGTGGTGGTAGGGGTTGCAGTCTTATGGGACCTGAGTCCTCAACTTGTGGATCTGACATGATCAGAATTAACTCAGAATCGAGTTAAATTGAAGAAAACCCAGCTGGTGTGTGAGAACTGCTATGTGTGGGGAAAACACACACACACACACATTTTGGTCACTAAAGTTTTCTGTGTTGAGTGTGAGTATAAGGGAAAAAATGTCTTTTTCATCCATAAGTAAATTTTTCCAAAGTTTTTGCTGCTAAGTAAAAGAGCTGGACTCTCTACCTGGCTGTCTGGCTCCAAGGCTCACTCTCCTTGTTAGGCTGTTCTGGGGTCAGAAGGTCTAGACTCAACTCCACCAATGAGCTGCTAACCTTGGGTAAATGGTTCAATGTTATCATCTACATAATGAAGATAATAATTTTTACCTTATATGGGTATAGAAAGCATAATAAGAGGTGATCTAGCACTGTTTAAACCAGATACATTTTAGCTAATTTATGCTGAGTTCAGCCCCAGAACAGCCCTGGCACACAGCCCACGCTTCACACCTCTAGACTGGCTTCTGAGATCAGCTTCAGAGGTCAAACTTTCCCTTTCATGGAAGAAAGGCAGGGACCTAAGGAATGAAAAGCGTCATTGCCCTTGTGGACTTTTGAGTACATCTGGGCCCCTTCCTTCTTAACTCTATCCTTTCTGTTTCTCAGGCTGAACTTCGGTCCACCCAGTTAGACTTGGAGCAGAAACTCAAGTTGAATGAAAATGCCATTGCCAGGCTTCAAGCCAATCACAAGTCCGTTTTGGTAAGATGGGTGTGGGTCACCTGTTATATTTCAGCATGTCTGGCTGCTTCTTCAGGGTCAGTCAGGCTATAGGGGGTTGTGGGACATGGGTTGTAGGTCCAGTGGGGTTTTTCTGCTAGGAGAATTATAGGTATAGTTGGCTAAACTATGAGGCAGCCTCACCTTGATGTCAGGATTTGTTATGAAATTTGCTTAAGTTTTAAAGCTGGCAAGTGATTTGCTTTTTAATAATATAGAGTAGAACCAAGATTAGTCATGGTATAACAGCATTATTTTTGTATGTGCATTCTTGACCAGCAGAAAAGTGTATGAATGTGCCTGTGTGTATAAAAGAGAGGTATTTAGTTAGAGCTCCAGGAATTATAAAAAATCTTGGCTTCCTCCATCATGGGAGGATGTTCTGCATGTATGTCCTGGCATCCAGATAAAAGACTTTAGAACTGCGGGATAAATGGATGTTACTTGATAAGACCAATGGTGTACCAGGTTGCTTGGCTTTAGTCACTCTAGTGGTGGCCACTTTCCAAATAGACTCTATAAGTGGACCCAAGCAATTCCACAAATAGCTTTCATTGGTGGCAAGCCAATAACCACTACTTAGAAAAGATTGCTGAACACTTACTCTATGATAATGAGTCAGCAGTATCATTTCATATGCTGAGAATGAATAATTTCATCCATCTATCCATCCACCCACCTATCCATTCATTCATCCATCCTTCCATTCATTTATTTACCTACAAATCCACTCACTTGCCTACTTATATACATGTCCATCCATCTGTCTACCTATCCATTCATCCACTCATCCATCCATCCACCCACCCACCTAATGTAATACATATATCCATTTTAACTTAATTTCTACCTCTTTATTTAAAATAATTTTATACCTTTATTTATTATCTATGTATCTATCTATCTATCTATCTATCTATTTATTTATATGTGGTGCTGAGGATCGAACCCAGCACCTTGCACATGCTAGGCAAGTGCTCTACTGCTGAGCCACAACCCCAGCCCATAATTTCCACCTCTTGTGTTTATAACTAATTAGTTGCTGAAGAATGAAACCTCTTTCTTGCCCACAATATTTTATTAAAGGAAGAAAAATAATTACTCTTTTAAATCCTTATAAACCTTCAGAGATAGTTGATTTTCAGGATTCAAATGACTTAGAGAATCACATTTTAGCTTTTTTTCCGGCTTTTCAATGTTTAGACACTTTGATCCCTACTCAGTTCTCATAATGGCATGGTAACCAGGGGAGGTAATTTTACAATGACCTTCATGAACAAGGGATGTGATAAGGCTTGTCTAGGGTCCCTTAGATTGGTGGGACAGGAGAACCTGGGAATGTTGCTCTCTCAACCCAAGAATGACTCATACACTGATAGGCATGTGCACCATCCTCAAATATAAACCACTAACTGTTAACTACTTCGATATGTTTGTAGCCCCTCCTATCTGCACTATTTATTTGTCATCATTTGGGTTGTAAATAATATCCATCACACATTCCATTTACATGCAAAAAGAAGTGTTTCTCAATGGGAAGGTTTAGGAAGGAGAGGCTACAGTAGGAGCCAATCACCAATATCATTCAAGGCCCCCTTTATACTATCTCTTCTCATTGATGGCAGGGAAGGGATGTGGATCATGAATTTTGTCTTCAGATTTATGCCTCTTATCTCACAGTATGATATTTCTATGAGGAAACTACATGTTGGAATTATAGAGAGTAAATGGATTTGGGTTCTTTACCCACCTCATGTGACTACCCATATCTAGTCCTCCTCCTGTTTTATGATAGTGATCAGGAGTAGGCAGGGCAGGGAGCCTCTGCTGGCCTCTATGATTCATGGAGTCTGGATACCTGAGCCTAATAGGGTTGGAAGGGCAGTAAGCCAGGGATCTAGCATATTCCTTAATGTAGAGCTTTGATAAGACATCAACAGCTATACCACCCTCCTCCAAAAAAAGTGATGAGTAAATCTCACCTGTATTCTAAGGTAGATTTCTCCATCTTTGCTTTCATATTTATAAAATGAAGACATATTTTGACATTTAGATTTAAATTCAGTTATGATTAATTGTCTCAGAATTCATAGTATTTATAATGACAAGGAGGCAACATCTGTAAACTCTTGCTTCATAAACTGCTGAGTAGGTTTGGCATCTTGTTTTGGTCACCTGCTCAACAAAAGCCTGTGTATTTAGTCCATTAGGGGTATAGGTGGTGCCCCTGACCTACTGCCCACAGTGACCAAAGGGCTAAGTCCTATTCCCTTTCCAGTCTCGAGAGGGCATCAGCTTAATATGCTAATGAGATGACTGCTGGCTGGAGCTCCTGGACAGCCTGCTGCCCTTCCTTCTCCCCAGAGTGAGGCTCAGCCTGAACATCCCAGAGCTCCAAAGGGAGTCTGAACAATAGATTTCCTCTGAGTTTCCTAAACTACCTCTGGTGCTACCCTTGCTTCTCAATACAGCCATCTGTCTGAAGCCTTTTCTTGGTTTGGGCTTGAGGAATTTAGAGAAAATCTGCCATCTAGCCTCTTTCTTCCTCCTACCAGCTGTGCCCAGCTGCCCTAGCCTAATAAGCCAACAAGTGATAGAAACATTGGCATAAAAATGAGAATGGAGGGAGTGTCTACATACTTTCCTACCCCCTTCCAGGAATGATCCCAATTGCTTCCTTTTCCCTGCTTATTCCTCCTTTGGCCACTGGATCAAAGGCTGATCAGAGACCATGAATTCTCTTGGGATTACATTCCTGAGTCTTGGTCTGAGGCAGGGTCCCCAGCCGACAGAAGTCCTCCTACCTGATATCATCATTTCTTTTTCTCATCTTTCTTCAAACCTCCAGGTTCCCACATGTCCTGGGCCCAACGACCCTTGTTTTATGATTTCTTCTCTTATTGAGTTTCACTTTTTGGGTCTGAGTCTTATTCTCCCTGCCTCCCAGGATAGAGAGGTGCCCTTGCAGTACCCATCCTAAGGGCATCTATTGTTTTGACTCCCTTTAGAGGCCTGGAACTTACCCTTGGGACCAGGAACAGAAAACAGCACCTGGAGGGGATGCTCAGAGAGATCTCAGATGGGATAGGATGGTGGGGACAATGGGAGAGACTTGAGATAGGTAGGGAATGGACTTTGGGTTGTGGGGTTGGGTCAGGGAATATCCAAGACCTATGAAATTTAAGAGCATTGTACAGTATGGACAGATGCAGAAGGAGCTGTCTACATACTTAAGAACTATTAAAGAGAAGAAGACAGCATTTAGAACTCAGATTGATGTTGTAGATGTTCTAGTAATTGAAGGCATTCAGAAGGGATGTTCATGAAAGAGTTCCACAAGCATGCATATCAACATGCAAACCCTTAATATTGATTTTGTCTTATAGTTTGATTGCAGCATTCTATTTTGCATTGATAATGCTCATCCTGTAACTTCTTGGTTACCATGGTCACCTACACATATTTTAAACATTTCCTGTCTCTGCTTTGCAGAGACACCATGATCTTAAATGTGCTTTTGGCTCAGACTGTTCAGTGATCATTTTAACCAGGTGTAATAAAATGCTGAGGAAGCTGATTCACACTATCTATTTGTGCAAAAAGGTCAAGTTATTCATTTACCTCTTGAAGTATACTATCAAATATACTGAATACAGACATTTCTCTTGTAGAAAAAATTGGTTTCATAAACTTGATTAACAGACCCAGACTGTCAGAGCTTAAAGAAATCCTACAAGTCACATAGCAATCTCATCAAATGGATAAGGAGACTAAGTTAACAATCAGCAAAGAAGCACTTACATTTCAGGAGAGTAAATCTTTTCTCCAGGAATAAAAGTTTCCTTTTACAGTAGAACATTGTTCCCTCGTTTATGGGTTTCTCGAGTTTGTTTATTTATTTATTTATATTTTATGTTGAGCTTCCATGAAATTGAATGCCTCACTAACGAATTTTTGGATGCCTTCCACTCCATCCCTGCCAGGTGTCAGTGTCGGAGGTGAAGGTGGTAGCTGAAGAGCAGTTTGGGGAACTGCTTGCTGCTGTGAGGAAGGCCCAGGCAGATGTGATGCTCTTCTTGGAGGAGAAAGAGCAAGCTGCTCTGAACCAGGCTAATGGCATCAAGACCCACCTGGAGTACAGGAGTGTAGAGATGGAGAAAAGCAAGCAGGAGCTGGAGAGGTTGGCGGCCATCAGCAACACCGTCCTCTTTTTGGAGGTACAGAATTGAGGGGTGGGGCAGGGGAAGAGGTGGAGGTATCCATGCAGCTGCACCACGGAGAATCCTTCTTCTACTAAGCCTGTGGCACATCTATGAATGCGACTGCATTTTGATAAAACCCCATTGGAATCAGAGACACAGGTTTGATTCAGCAGAGTACAGCAGTGGTAGGAGTAGGGAGGATCCCTCAGAGCAGGGAAGGTCCTAGAAGGTAAGTCATGTTCAAGGTGCAGTATGTTCCAGATAGAGGGAACAGAGTGTGCGAAAGCACAGAGGATTGAGAAAGCATGGCTGGCTTGGGGAACCAAGGCATTTCATAGAGATGGAGCACAGGATGCTGGGCTCATAGTGATGGACGATGAGGCTGGTGGGGCCAAGCAGGCATCTGACTGTGAAGGACTTTGGGAGGGGGAGTGAGGAAGGCAGATGAGTATATTTTATAAAGCACCCTGGCAGTTGTGTGGAAACTTACCTGGCAGGGATGAAACTGGACACCTGCTGTTTTTCAGACAGAGCTGTGTCTATTTGGGTCATTGAGGACTGCTCAGTAGAGGGAAGGAACTTTCCACTATAATGTATCATTATACATTACGATATGTGCCTTTTGAACCAGATCTAAAGAACACGTCATTTTGCAGGAAAGGAACACTAGGTTGGGGGTAAATTTCATCATCCTGGATCTATCATAAATAAGCTGTGTAGCTTTTAGTAATATATATTCAACCTCTCTGGGTCTCAAATTTCTCACTTATCCAAACAGAAGATTGGAATAAATAATTTACAAGTCTTCTTCCAAAAGACAAAATAATTTTTCTTGCTTGCATTTTTGAAAAATAAAAATCCCTTGTAGGTGCAATAAACTGTTTATTGTGAAAAATTGGGGGATGTTCAGAAAAATATGAAGGAAAAAAAATAACCCATAGTCCCAGCACCCAGAGACAGCCATAGTTAGTCTTTTATGGTTAACTCTCATAGTAAGTGAGAGAAAGAGAAACATACAAAGAAAAATAGTAAAAAATATGAATAGTATCTCTCTCTTTTAAAATGTTTTTTAGTTATACATGGACATAATATCTTTATTTTTTTATTCATTTTTGTGTAGTGCTGAGGCTAGAACCCAGTGCCTCACATGTGTGAGGCAGGCACTCTGCCACTGAGCCACAACTCCAGCCCCTGAATAGTGTCTCCTTTTTCATTTGTGTCTCTAATTTTCAATATCAAAACACAGCAAATGAATATGGATAAAAATTTGACTTTCTGTCACAAGTTTCTTCCAAGATCTCCTGCCCAAAGAGTATAAAAATCACTTTTTCTTGTTTTCTTTTCTCCTTTTGTAACTTGTTTTTTACATTAAAACTTTAAGATGTATAAGATATATTTTAGCATAGGATAACAGTTATTAATTTTGGTGAAAGAAAAGTTATTTTTGCCCAAACTGTCAGCCAATTGAAATGACAGCATTTATTGAATAATTTATTCTTTCCCCACACTGAAATAAAATTCTAGTTTTGTTGAATATAGTAACCAAATCTTTGTACAATATTAAAATGTTGTGCTATCAACTTTCTGATTTGTACTTTTTCTTCTCTTCCTTGGCTCTGGCATAGCCATGTTCATGGTTAAGTGTTCTTCTGTATCCATTCTGCTCTTCAATATTCATTTGCCTGTGAGTTTTGATAATGTCTTACGTCTGAAATCAATCTTTCCTGTTTCCTGTGTTGTTTTGGAACTGAAGTGACTTAATGTGATCATCTATATGAAAACACTTCAAACTGGAAAGCACAGTAAAAGAATTATAGAAAACTACACATTGGACTGAATTGACAAGGAGAAGGTAGCATTCCTGTCTGAGGGATGGTTTGTGGATCTTTAGAATACTGCAACTAGCTCCTCCCGCCCTACCATGGCTAGAATGTTCTCATTCTTATGACTCCCAGTCTGGGCTGTGTATTAGAGCTGTTCATGGATATTAGGTCCCTCCTGATTTTAAAAGCTCATGTTCTCGCTTGATTTTTAAAAGGCCCACTTTTTAAAGTCTAGCAGCATTTAAAAAAAAACGTTATTTTTATTTTTTAGACCTGAGATGGACACTGTACACACATTTTTCTCCTTGAAGTATGTTATCAACCCATTTTAAAGATGTAGAAAGGAGAACAATCCAATTTAAGAAACAATTTAAGACGCAAATTATTCTGTTTCCTTTTTGTAGGAGTACTGCAAGTTCAAGAACACGGAAGACACTGCTTTCCCTAGTGTTTACATAGGGCTGAAGGATAAACTGTCAGGCATCCGCAAGGTCATCACAGACTCCACCCTACACTTAATCCAGCTGTTGGAGAACTACAAGGAAAAACTCCAGGAGTTCTCCAAAGAAGGTGAGGAGTTTTCTGGACCATGGACTATAATTGGTGTGTCTCTAGGAACGGTCTATGGGGAAATAGAGAGACAGGCAAGGATGAGTAAATTGGGGAATGCTTATTTTCCAAGCCATCCTTTAGCTAGGTCATGTGACTAATGGAACAATATCTTAACTTTATTTTTATAATTATACTTCATGTATGCTTTATTTTATAATTAAGATCTGGAGAAGGTAAGTTAGTCACATTGTGCAATGGGATGCATTTCTATGATTAGCATCTCACATTGCTGCTGCTTGTGCTAGGAGGTAAAAATTCAAATCAGCGTGGGATCTTTTTCTGGTGATTGTATCTCATCCGTGAAAGTGGTGTGATCCATTAAATGTGTTCCACGTTAGTAGGCACCAGGCCTCTCTAGCCTCAGAAAGCTCAGGGAAGGGTGCAGTTTTCTCAAGTTCTCTTGATTACCCAAGCAGATGTGTATTCACAACTCTCTGATTTTTCTAGAGGAGTATGACATCAAAACTCAAGTTTCTGCCATCGTTCAGCGCAAGTATCGGACCTCAAAACCTGAGCCTAAAACCAGGAAAGAGTTCCTTCAATGTAAGTTGTGAACAGATTCCCCTTCCCCAGGTGACAATGTCAGTGTAATGCTGACATTACACTGAAGTGAGAACCACCATCTTTCATATAGGATTCAGGTTCTTGTAACCTCTTGACTATCCCTAAACAATACACCTTTTAAAATTCAATTAAATAATAGTTATTCTGAAATAATTTAAAACTTAGAAAAAATTGCAAAAATAGGGCAAAGAATTCTGTATACCTTCACTCAGTTTTTCTAAATGTTGTATGTAGCCATAATACATTGATCAAAACTAATAAATTAACATTGTTGCAATACTATTAACTAATCCATAGAATTTATTTAGGTTTCATTCATTTTCCACCAATTTTTCTGGTCCAGATTCCAACCTAGGAATACAAATGTTTCCATCTCCTTAGTCTTCTCCAGTCTAGGTCAGCCCTCTGTCTCTCTGTGTCTTTAATAATCTTGGCACTTTTAAGAGTTTTGGCCAGATACCAAATGGTTCACTTTTAAGTCTCGCTTGGACAGAATTGCACAACACATTGTTTTGTCATTCTAAGAAATCTACCCGTTCTGTTAACATTGTTAAAAGCACTGTATTTTTTTATTGATTTTTAAAAAAATAGATGACAGTGGAATACATTACAATTCTTATTGCACATATACAGCACAATTTTTCACATCTCTGGTTATATATAAAGTATGTTGACACCAATTCGTGTCTTCATCCATCTACTTTTTAAAAAATTTTTTTTATTTTTAGTTGTTGATGGACCTATATTTTATTTATTTATTTCATATGGTGCTGAGAATCAAACCCAGTGCCTCACACATGCTAGGCAAGTGCGCTACCATAAAGCCACCACCCCAGCCCCATCATACATGTACTTTGGATAATGATGTCCATCACATTCCACCATCATTGCTAATCCCCTCCCTTTCCTTCCCACCCCTCTGCCCTACCTAGAGTTTATCTATTCCTCCCATGCTCCCCCTCCCTACCCCACTATGAAGCCTCCTTGTATCAGAGAAAACATTTGGCATTTATTTTTGGGGGATTGGCTAACTTCACTTAGCATTATCTTCTCCAGCGTCATCCATTTACCTGCAAATGCCATGATTTTATTCTCTTTTATTGCTGAGTAAAATTCCATTGTGTATATATGCCACATTTTTTTTTATCCATTCATCCACTGAAGGACATCTAGGTTGGCTCCACAGTTTAGCTATTATGAATTGAATCACTGTATTTCTAACCAATACTTCATGTTAGAATGAGTTCAAGAGCTTGTTGTACAACATGGTGACTGTAATTAATCACAATGCATTATGAACTTAAAAATTGCTAAGAGAATGGACTTTAAGTGTTCTCACCACACACACACACGCAAAGAAAGAAATGCATATGGCATATGTTAGGTAGCCCATATGTTAATTAGCTTGGTTTAGCCATCCCACAATATATATGTATTTTCAGACATCATGTTGTACACTATAAAAATGTACAATTTTTGTCAACTAAAACAGTTAAATTGAAAAATAAAAAACACTCGATGATGGTTAACCAGTTCATCAGATCTCATCTGCTAGCAGAGGAAAAATTACACTGTGTGGCCAATGCTTATTTTTATAACTTATTTTTGGAACATGCCATTGAACCTTGCTTCTGATTATTCTTTGAGGGGGACCACTGGTGGAGAAACTCATGGACAGCCTTTTTCTCTGGTTTTTACTTATGACAATAACTATCTCCTGTTCTTGCCACAGCTCCTATTTTTTTCCCCAGGATGTTTTGGTTTCCATGTGGTTTTCTTTGTTCTTTCCTGCTTCCTGACAGAAGCACAGTTATATTTTATAAGCAGACTCATTTTAATAAAAGAACCCAAATACCCTTTATTCTTTTGTGTGTGTGTGTGTGTGTGTGTGTGTGTGGTACTGAGGATTGAGCTGAGGGGCAGTCAGTTGTAGCCCTTTCTCTTTTAATTTTTGTTTTTTAAATTTTGAGACAGGGTCTCACTAAGTTTCTTAGACTGGCCTCAAACTTACAGTCCTCCTGCCTCCTCAAACACTGGGATTACAGGGATGTACCATTATGCCTGGCTCAAAATCCTTTATTCATTACATTAAATTAAAAATTAAACATATGCTATTATAATTCAGGTTCTTCTGCATTAAAAATATTTTATACATATTAACTTTTCCCTTTTTTGAATATTGCTATGAATATTATTCATAGTATTATCTTTTGAATTATTATGGGCAGCCAATAAGGAGCCTGTGGCACTGGTATAGGTGAGATTTGATGGTGGCTTAGACGGGAGTTGAAGCAGAGGGCTGGAGAAAAGTGTGGAGACCTACAGGATTTTCTCTTGTCTGTGTGTGGAGGGATGGGGCTTAAGAATGGGGGCAAAAGACATGTCAAGAATGACTTGGCTCTGACGTGAGCAACTGTGTGCAGGAAGGTGCTATTATTCTCTGGGATTAGAAATAGAATATATTTGGGGAAATGTTTGACATGCTAATTATTAGTCAAATAGTTTTGAAAATGAGTGAACGTGGGGCTGGGGCTCAGTGGCAGGGCGCTCGTCTTGCATGTGTGAGGCACTGAGTTTGATCCTCAGCACCACGTAAAAGCAAACAAATAAAATAAAGGGTGGGCTGTCTATCTACAACTACAAAGATTTTTTTTTTTTTTAATGAGTGAATGTATAGAATGTAGCTATACCCATATCCCCAAACCTTTGCTAACACTGATAGAATAGTGCCTGGCTTTCTTCACAGATTTGTTGAATGAATGAGTAAATTCAGTTTCTTGATTCACTTCACCAAATAATACAGTGAATGCTGAGCAACTTGAGCTTCAGAAAGGAATGAAGTGAAGTGACTTGTGTTCACCCTGTTCTGTCCTTTTTTCCTAAGGGAATAGCAGCTGGGTCAAGGGTCAACAGGGGATGGGTGTTTTCCCAGACATGCTTTGGAGGCCATCTGGGTTTAAAGCATTCTGTCAGAATCAGCTGTCATTTCCTGAAACAGCCTTCTTGCCTTCTGTGTTTCTTCAGATGCTCACGATATCACATTTGACCCGGACACAGCACATAGGTATCTCCGACTGCAAGAGGACAACCGCAAAGTCACCAACACCACACCCTGGGAACATCCCTACCCAGACCTCCCCAGCAGATTCCTGCACTGGAGGCAGGTGCTGTCCCAACAGAGTCTGTACCTGCACAGGTACTATTTTGAGATAGAGATCTCCGGGGCAGGCACTTACTTTGGCCTGACCTGCAAAGGAATTGACCGGAAAGGGGAGGAACGCAACAGTTGCATTTCTGGAAACAACTTCTCCTGGAGCCTCCATTGGAACGGGAAGGAGTTCACAGCCTGGCACAGTGACACAGAGACCCCACTCAAAGCTGGCCCTTTCCGGAGGCTTGGGATCTATGTCAACTTCCCCGGAGGGACCCTTTCCTTCTATGGTGTAGAATATGATTGCATGACGCTGGTTCACAAGTTTGACTGCAAATTTTCAGAGCCAGTCTATGCGGCCTTCTGGCTTTCCAAGAAAGAAAATGCCATCCGGATTGTGGATCTGGGAGAGGAACCTGAGAAGCCAGCGCTGTCCTCAGTGGAGCCTGCTTCTTAGGTTCCAGGATCCATATCCCAGGCCTTTGCTAAAACTATGATGGGACAGCAACTTGCATTGTAAGGGCGACTTGGGGGACAGGAATATCTGCCAGTGGTAGCTGGTTTTAGAAATCACGTAGGTCTGAGAATGAGAAGTTTGTCCAGCTGTTCTCTTTGCTGCATGTAGCGTTCTCTATATGTTTGCAATATTCTAAAGTGCTAAAGTCTCAGGTGAACATCACACTTTGCCCAGAATTGTAACCAGGACTCTTTAGAGTACTAAAATGGTTGTAGAGGAATCATAATAAACTGCAAACTTTGTCATGTATTTCCTGTGTGCCAGGCTCTGTTATGGGACTTCCTATGCATTAACTTGTTTAATCTTCACAGCAGACCCATGGGGTAAATGCTTACATTCTCATTTTTCAAATGGGGGAAAGGTGGTAGGTAGTGCAGTCCAGAGCAGTTAGCTAGCTTGCTCAAGCTCACACTGGTCACCTGATGAGAGGCAGAGCTGGGATTCAAATCTGGGTGGGTGGTTGTTAAACTTAACCACCATGATATATTGCCTTCTTCATTAGACCATAGACATTATGTATAAGGGAATAAACCATATGATGAACTACACAGCAGAGAAACAGAGTGTCTTAACTCACCTGTTAAGAGTTTACACATCTTTTTTGCATATACCATTTCTTTTAGCCAAAATCTGGCCAATAGCTTACCAGCTCATTCTGGTTTTGGATAGCAAGGATTAGAAGAAATGCCTTAATGGAGTCCAAGCCTTAGTTCCTGTGAACTCTGGGGAGGGACTCCCTCCTCTCTTCTAAAGACACCTAGACTATGTGAATTTGTCTGCTTTCTCGTCCGAATGACAGTTCTTCACATATTTGTGGTTAGCTCTCATATCCTCTCTTCCCTGGAGCTATTCATGTTTTTACACTAAACTTCCCACTTTTTCTCATGATTCCCAGTCTTTCACACATACACACATCCCTCAGGTATTCTCATTTTGACAGATAAGCACCCTAAGATTAATGACATTAACTCATCAAGCCTTTAAGAAAATGAAAAAACTGCCTTTAAATGGGTTTCTGAAGACATAACCTGAAGCTCTTAGTGGGATTTACCAGAAATATTATTTCCGGGTCTTTTCCTTTGACCTGTGTCAAAGCCAATCTCTTCCTGTTGGACCAGTTGGGTGAGCCTATCTCCATAGTATATTATTTTACCATTTCTTGGCTTGTTTCCAGAGATTCTGTCATATATTTTTACTTAAGGATTTATCCAGTGTAAGATTTAAATATTTTTACTTTAATTTCTTCACATCACTGCTGTGTGCTGAGATGGTTTAGTGATTCTTCATCCAGTGTATTTTGCTCTCTTTCCCAGTCTAGTGTCACCTGCAGAAATTAATGATTTTACTTCTTAAGTCTCAATGCTGTTCACAAATGTATGGATTAGGGTAGGACTGAATGCAGAATCTTGCAGCAGTCAGCCAATACCTCTGAGTTCAGTAATACATAAATTATTCATTGGTAGAACTGCACAATAGTGTATTTTGTCTTTGCCCCTTTCTCCACTATACATAATGAAGGACATTTTCAGCAGCAGAAATCAATATATGTATGCTACATTTGAATTTTTTTGATCTCTTTGTCATGTAATGCTCTTAAAAGCAGCTTGGCCTACTTTAACTTTTTTCCTTTGCTTTTTTTAAAAAAAAATTTAATTGGAACATAATAATTGCACATACTTATTGAGTACAGGGTGATATTTCAATATATTTATACAATGTGTAATGATCCAATAAGGGTAATTAGCATACCCATTGCCTTCAATGTTTATTTCTTTGTAAATGAAAACATTCAAAAATCTTATCTTCTAGCTATTTTGAAATGGCCCTGCCTTGCATGTACTAAACATGTGGGTTGTTGATGCTTGTCACTTTCTTTTCTAAAATTTCACAGATAAACCCTTTTAGAATTCTGCTGTGGGTTAATGTCAAGTTTTCTAGTCTGTCATTTCCAGGATCTACCTTATTTTTCTTTTTAAAAAATCAAGACTATTTTGTCTGTCCCCATTCTCTACCATTCTCTCTAATTTCTCAAAGATTCCTGCCTGATTGGTAGGCACATAGGTAAATTGCCTCAGTGTCCTGGGATATAATTTGGTTAGGTCAGAACACTCAGGCTCAGGCTGGGTTTATAGCTCAATGGTAAAGTGCTTGCCTAGCATTTGTGAGGCACTGGGTTCAATTCTCAGCACTGCATATAAATAAATAAAATAAAGGTCCACTGACAACTTAAAAAAAAATCAAAGTGTATGTATCTAGTAACAGAAAAAAAAAGAAAATTAAAAAAAATTAGAACACTCAAGCTCATTAAAAAGGAGCCATTTAGGTATCTCCTTACCTTGTTTGAATTTTGTTTCTCTATTAGCTCTTTTTGTCTATTAGTTTTCAGGTTCAAGTCCTCCTTTCTTGATATAAAAGATCAAAGCAAAATTAAGAGTTAGGCATATCTGTTTTCTGTCATTGCTTCAAGTGATGGATATACCATGTTTATTTTTTTCTTGGTCTGTAAACTAAAAACTGCTTAAAACAAATAAAAATGAGAGAGAGAGAGAGAGAAGATATGAATGCAGGCCTATATTATATTTTCCGGCATTTTGCCCAAGCTGTCATGTGTACCACTTGTTTGTATTTATCCCACCCTTATCTCCTCTTCCATATATAGATTTATCTAAAACAAAAATAGAAACAAAACAAAACAAAAAACCCTGAACTCAAGGAGAGCTCACTTTGTTTGCCAGATCATTTTGTTCCATTACTAGATGAGTCAGAATATAATTTTAGCCACCATCTAATTTTATTTTTTTTATTTTAGTGCTGGGGATTAAACTCAGGACCTTATGCATTCCAGGCAAATGCTCTATCACTGAGCTACACCTCAGACTCTAATCTATTCTTGTTTTAATTTTTTTTTTTTTTTTGAATCCAAGTGCATAGGATATTCTCTTCTAGGAATCTTGTGAATTCTGAGTAAATTCCTATATTCTTCCAAGATTCAGGATGAAATGATGAGCTATCAGGATTTGTCCCATCATGGATTCCTTATCTCTTTGTCTGCATTTTATGTGCTGTAACAGAATACCACAGACTGGATAAAGAAAATAAATTGATTTTTTTATAATTTTTTTAAGTTGGGAATTCCAAGCTTTTAGGAGCCTGCATCTGATAAAGGCCTTTTTGCTACATGATCCCATGATAGAAAGTGGTAGAGAAAGAAAGCACTTGTGAGACAGATTGAACTCAAGAGCAGATGCAAGTCAACCTACAATCCTAGCGATTCAAGAGGCTGAGACAGGAGGATCAGGAGGCTGAAGAGGAACACAAATTTGAGGCCAGACTGTTTTAAAAATAAAAAGGGCTGGGGTATAGCTCAGTGGCTTAGTGGTAAAGTGCCCTGGATTTAATTTCCAGTACCACTGCCCCCAACCCCCACTGAGAGAGAGAGAGAGAGAGAGAGAGAGAGAGACCCTTCAAACTCTTTCATAACTGGCATCAATGCATTTATGAGAGTGGAGTCCCCATGAAGACTCTATCTCCCAACGTTGCTGCACTGGGCGTTAAGTTTCCAGCATATGCTTTTTTGGAGAAATGCATTCAAACCATAGTACTCTTCAACCTGGCTCCGCATCTTTTTGGAATGAACGTCCTCAAATCAAATCCATTCAATATCTGTGGCATTAATGATGTGCAAGCTGCAGTGTTAGATATCGTGATAGAGTAACCCAGAAGATAGCTATCTTTTGATAGTTATCAGTTATCTTTTGATAACTGATTTAAATTGAAATGAAAAGAATTCATAAGTGAAGAGTTAAAAAGAAATGAATTATTCAAAATAATAATAGATGTATTCCTTATTTCTGTGTCTGAGTGTGCTTTCTTATTTATCATTTTTCTTAGTCTGTCTTCAGGGACTGAATTCCGTCTTGTGTTGGTGACTGACCAGCTTCCTGGTTGATCCCCCATCTCTACAGGCAACTGTCTCCATTCAGAGGCCACCTCTCTACTCCATTAACCTCAGACAGAAGATGGAAAGAAACGGGTGTACATTTCCTGCTTCTCTTAGATCCCTCAGATTTGGGCACTGACTCTCCTGCATCTGAGATTAGACATCGTGGTGGCAGGGCAGGAGGTCTCAGCAGGGAAGTTCTCCACATCACATGCATCCCATATCCACATTCAGGGCACAGACTGTGTGGCTCAGGTAGAGGGCTGGCCATTTAGGCTTTGCAAACTTGCCTCATTTTTATCTCTATTTCTGGCTTGCTCAGTAGTCTTGTTGAGAAAAATTCCCCCATCTTCCAGAAACAAGACTGGGTACTGGAAAAGAAGGGGGTGAACGAGACATTTAGCAAGTACCTAGGCTCAGTATAGCAATAGTTAGTCATTCAAGGTTAAAATCCTGGGGCTGGAATTGTGGTTCAGCGGTAGAGCGCTCCCCTAGGATGGGCGGGACCCGGGTTCGATTCTCAGCACCACATAAAGATAAAGGCATTGTGTCCATCTACAAAAAAAAAAAAAAAAAAAAAAAAAAGTTTATTCTCTCTTTTCTCTCTCTCCCTCCCAAAAAAAAAAAAAAAAAAAAAAAAAAAAGGAATTTAAGGTTAAAATCCTTCTCCCCATATTAATAATTTATGTAACCACTCTGATGATTACCTGAAAAATGTATGTGTGTGTACATGTGCATGCACAAATTCATATTTTATCTTATGTAAAAAATACTTTCCCCAAATCTCACCAAAGTATCATAGCCAAACAGCAGCTAATCCCTTATACATCTCAGGGACTTTTTTTCTCTAAGAGTTCACTGTTAGGAGTCATATCAAATTGAAATATGTTCGTAAGACATTTACATAATATCCTTAAGATTCTTTCTTCTGACACCTCCTACCCTCCTCCTGTCCTCCTTCTTCATCTTCCATCAGGTCAGTTAGAAGATTATTTTGATTTTGGTCCTTGTTATGATGAAATGATAAGTGTGTCAAATTTTTCACTGTGTAAACTAGCAATATGAACACACATGCCAATGTATCCTAACAGATCTACTTGGTTACATCTCAGGGTTACTCTACTTAATCTTGATTCATGTATGGAGAAATGGCTGGGATAACATAATGCCTGCTTGTTATATAAGAAAGTTATGTCCATTACTCTGAGCTCCTTACTTTAAAGTTTTTCCTCCTGGCTTCTCTGTATTCTCTTTTTATCCTGAAATGCATTTTTTTAGGTTGTGAGGTATGTTTAAGGAGTGGAAGCCA